CATTCGACAGCTGTGATGTAAAATACACTTCATCTCTGCAAAATTTTATTGAGTAAGTTGAAGACTAAACTGGCTGAGCATACACATCAAGCTTTCTAGAATCACTTCATAGAGTTTCAGAAAAAGATGATAATAATGAAAATGGCAGGTTACTCAAAATAGAGTCCTAGAATAGCTGGGTGTCTAGGAAGGACCTCTGGGATTTAAGATGATCTGCAAGTATTCAGGCTCTGCTGTTGTTACCCCGGAGATGTTGACATGGTTTGAGAAGGAGGATGAGTGTCCGTGGAGGAAATCCCCCTAGGGCTGGAACCAGGTCCTTGCTTGGCAATGCTCTGCCTGTTCAGAGACCGGGGTCAGGTCAGCATGGTCCACATGGTGAATATGGAGTTCCAGGTATGTACTGGGCTCATCTGAGAGGTACGTGGAACAACGGGAAGTGAGACTGAATCCTCTCTGTGAGAGCATCTGCTGGTTTAACTGAGCATATACTATCTCCTGGGTTTCTTTTGCTGCAGAGTCCTGAGAGGAGATGGGTGAGAAGAAGAGAGTTATATTTAATAATTGAAGAGAGAGTCCTTGGATATATGGAGAGGATGAAACTGTAGTGAGAGTTTGAGCCTGAGAACTCACCTTTCTCTCCATAATTTGGACTTCTGTGGGCTCTGTGTCCATGATGGCAGGGTCTGTGGGGTAAAAGAGGGAGCCAAGGCTCTTGAGAGGGCTCTTCCAGATCCTCACATCATAGAGGAGACACAAGACCAGAATGAAGGAAGGGTGTGCCTGGGGTTTCTCAGCCAGTCTCCATCACTAAATTCAGAGAACTGCCCCATCAACAACTCTGGGTTGACCGTGACTGAGCCAGGGTCCCTCTAGTCCTGTGACCCCCCATCCTATTGCCTCTCTTCTGAACCATCCCTTCTTACACATCAGTGGCCTCCCCAGAGCTGGGGAGGAGCGGGGGAGGGGAAGGGTGGTTGGTCAGTTAAGGGAAGGGGTAGGGGTCCTCCAAGAAGAACCTCAACAGAAGCACAATCAACCCACAGGAAGTGACCATGCACCTTTGTGCCCCCAACAAACCCCCACTCTGCTCACGTGATACTGTCCTCTCCCATTTCAGACTTACAATTTTTGATAGAACACCAGTAACCAATAAGAACAGAGAGCAAAATGCCAATGGAGATAATGACTCCTGAGAGTCCAATGAGAATGTCCGGTTTGGGGGACTGTCCTTGAGGCAGATCTGCTTCTGTCAATAAGCAAACAACAAAAGCTCCCATTGGCTGGTTGCCTATTTTGTGTCAGTACATACTGGACTCATCATGCACTCTATGTTGGAATCCCCCAACATTCCTAAAACTGAACAATGGCTTTCTCCAGTTTCCAACAGGTGCAAAAAATTCAAAGAGTAGCGAAGACAGTTTTCCAAATCAATGAACCAGGAAGAGCTATGCAGAGGTCTGAACCCAGATCTACCATGCTTCAGTGTGCCCTCCACCCCACTTCCTCATGAGACAAGGCAGTTTGTTTTTGTATGAAAAGGAAACTCTCTGCATCTACCATAGCTGATCACCATTTCCCCTTGGTCCTCCTCAGTCCGGCATAACTGTACTTTCTCGGAGCTGAGGATGTCTCTAGTGCTGGTTGCTGAGATTTGAACTTGCTACACAGAATATTAATACTCCCTCCCAGTCGTAACTAAGAGTGGGGTGGGTGGAGAATTCAGGAGAGAGGAAATGGGATGGGTAAGGGATGTGTCATATATGAGCACATTCTCTGTACCAGGAACCCTGCTGGGACAAGAGGGCTTTCACGTTTGTGACTGCATCTTATACTCGGCAGAAGGAGGGAGGGTCCATTAGCCTTGTGTCCTGTTTAGGAAAATTGTTGCTTTGTGACATTAAGTGACTAGAACAAGCAGAGCCATGACTTATGCCCGAGATTCTGACTTCAATCTTTCTCTTTCAAGGGATGACGTCATGTTCCCTCACTAGAATCCTTGTTGAGCTGTTTGTTTCTCTGATAGGTCAAGTATAGTTTCCATCAACTGAAACAGAGGCTTAGAGAGAAATGAGTATGTCCAAGGTCATCCTGCTAAGAAATACCGGAATTAGGTTCTGAAATCTCCCTCTCAATGAGTCCAGCTCTGAATGTGTTCTGAACCTACCAGTTCATCTCCTTCTCTGGCACCTTCGTGTCTAAGTCACCATGATTTTTCTCCACAAGGATGCTGTAGCCTTCACCAGACACACAGCTTCCACTCACGTTTCCCTAAAATAATTTCTTTGCATATCTGCCAATTGTTATTTCTGAAATAGGATGCAGATAGTGACATTTTTCTGATTAAAATCTCTTATTGGCTTCACATCTTGGCCAGAATACAATTGTAACTCTTTACGGTGGCTTAGAATCTTTCCCGTATGGGAGTTGGCTCCCATCTAGCTCTGTCAACTCCATCTTGCCCACCACAGGTAGCCACACTGGTGCTGTGAACACACCAAGCCACTGCCAGGTTAAGTTCAGGGCACTCACTGTTCCATCTGCTGGGAAAGGGCTTCCATCAATCTTCTCAACACTTGTCATAGAGATCATGCCTTAAATGTCACCTCCTCTGTAGGACCTTCCCTACTACCCACTCTAAATGATACTCTAAGGCTTTCTCTGTCACATGACTATCTTAATGAATATGAAGTTAAGGAATTTTAAATCAATTCATTAATTTATTCATTATGATTTTTCTACGCCCTCCACATGGCACTAGAATGAAATTCTCATGAACACAGGATAGTTTTGCTTCTAAATTGTTGAGTATTTAGATCATAGAAAGTTAAAAGATGACCACAAACATTTAAAGTGTTTCCTTAAATCCTTCCAACACCCCAACATTCCCATTTTCACAGACCATGATGGAGGGATGAGAAGCATCGCTTCTCAGGAGTGGTCAGGTTCCGTCTGGCCCCTCCCTCCTTTTTGGATGAGACCTTGATCCCAGGGCGTGAGGCTAAATGCCACCACTGATCCCCACGCTGACCACGGTGTCTCAAGTGCCCGTGGAGAATCTGTGAAGCAGACGCTTCATAGATTTGACCAGTCTGAGGTCTGAGGGCTGGGAGGTGGCAGAGCCATCATGCATACATGAGCCTTCTCTCTTCCCATGGATTCACACATGAAGCTAAGAGCCTCCTTTACTCACCAGATTCAGAGGTTGATTCTGTGGGTGATGGGCAACTACTCTTAGGGGTTCCTGGAAAAGGACAGAGAAGGGGTGAGGAAGCGTCTTTTCTTGCACCACTGAGCTAGGATCACTGTCTACAGTCTAGGGGAATGTTGGTCCCCTGTCCACCCCACACTCTGTCATCCACCTACTCACTGGTTTGGGGTCTTGCAGACCATTTCACAAAAACTCTGGGGAGGACACTCCCTCCCTCTGAGACCTGAAGGTGTAGAGAAGACTAGGAGATGCCTGGTGAGGAAGGACCAATAATCAGGAGACATTGTCTCCTCTTGGGGTGATGAATACCCACATTTCTCAGCAGGGAGATCTGTCTGTGGAGGAGAGGTCAGGAGGGGCTTCTAGAAGATGGATAAGGCTGAGGGGCGGATGCAACCTTTGATCTCCCCAAATTGCATCTGGCCTCACCTCCTCCTGTGACTGTCCTGAGCCCTTTCCTCATTCACCTTGGTACATAGGACCCCAAAGTGGCCTCTGTACAGGAGGAGGACGGGGGTTTGGAGGTGCCTTCTCTACCTTCCTAAACTGACAGTCCCTCTCCTACGTAACTTCTTCATTTTGTCCAGAATCTAAGATCCCTGTGTCTCATCAGAACACCCCTCAGACACAGCCCTATGATGCAGTAGGTCCCAGGGTACGCAGCAGGTATGGGATCCTCACCTGTGACAGAAAGGTGCAGGGGGTCACTCGGGGATGACCACTTATGGGGGGAGTAATGGAAGTAGCCGTAGCATCTATAGGTCCCTCCATGGGAAGGGGTTGCAGGGCCCAGAGGAACGTGGACCTGGAATGTTCCACTGTGGCTCTGCTGTCCACTGAGCCATTGGTCATGGTCCTCCCCCTCTCTGGACAGATGGTATGTGTCAAACTGACTCTTGGAGCTGCAGGGCAAGTTCACAATCTTTCCTAAGCCCACCATGGGGCCCACCTGGGTGGAGAGAGAAGGTTTTTCATACTGTCCTAGGAGAAAAAGAGTTTTATTTTATAACACAAGCCATGCCACGTTATCCTTAGTGCATGAACAAAAAATTCTCCCTGCTTGTTCTTGTTTCGAGACCAAACTCTAGATCTGCTAGTGCTTCTCTCAACAACATTTTAGTCTCCACAATCCTGACTCATGTGTGTGTGTCTTTGTAATTCTTCTGGTTTTCATTGATTTTTCCATTATTTTTTGACTGCATCTTAGTGTCTTATTGTCCTTTAAACTCATATGAAGTGTGAGGCCCTCCTGGAACATGGAAATAATTATCTTCTTTGGAGATCCTCAGAAAACATGATGCTGGCCTTAGGTCCCCTGACCTGGAACTATGAGGCTATGGGTCTCACTGTTTCCAACTTTACCTGCCGGAAAGTGCAATAATCTCTATAGGATCTGTAAGAACAATCACAGGTTGAGTCCTCTGGAACCAGCCAGTGTATCCACACCTCCCAAGGTGTGGATGCAAGTAGATGTGTCTACCTTTTGGGGAGGTTGCAAGTGACCGCTTCTCCCTCTTTGGGCAGAAGGACGTGTCACACCACACAGCTGAGCAACTGCTCAGGGTCCCAATCTCCATTCACATCCTCCAGCGGCCAGGCTGGGGGACGTCTGGTGTGTCACTGTGTCTCCTGGTGGAGGAAGGGGGCTGTGGTTTCAGGGTGAGAAACTGACCCCAAAATGCCCCTCGGTGCCTGAGCTGTGGGAAACAAGCCCCAATTCTAGGTCCCTGCGTGTTTCTCAGTATGTCTTTCACAGTGTCTGTCACTGTCTAATTTGTTTTCCCTGTAATTATAATACATTCTATGGTGGTTGGTCTTTTCCTTATTCCACCCCCACCCTTCTCTACAGAGGTTCATTGTATATCTTTGTGCCTGTTTTTTTTCTGACTGTACTAACATTGTGATCACCAACCATGTCACCCCCTGAAGCCTGTAGGGCATGACAAGACCAGGGGCTGGTCTGGCCACACTCACCTGTGATCACAACATCCAGGGGGTCACTGGGAGCTGACCACTCACAGGGGGAGTGACTGAGAGAACCGTAGCATGTGTAGGTCCCTGCATGGGTGGGCGTCATATTCCCCACGGAGAAGTCAGCCTGGATGGAGGGGAGCCCAACACGGATGCTCTCGGCACGCAGCTGGGAATGCTGTGTGGTCCCCTTCTTGTGCAGGATAAATTTATCGAACTGCAGTTCTGAGTGGCAGCGCAGGGTCACACTGCCTCCCGCATGCACTAGGGAGCTTGGGTGTGCTGAGATGGAGGGTTTTCTAAACACACCTGGGAGCAAAGAGACTGTGAGATTAAGGTGTCACCCTGCTCAGCCCGTGCCCTGAGAACAAGTAGTGAAGTTTCCCCGTCATCACCAAAGCCTGCCTGCTGTTCCTGCCTGTGAGCTTGCATTTTCTCTGGGCATCATCCTTCATCATCTGGACCTTGTCTTTTGTAGCCTGGATCTCCCTGCCTCACCTCAACCTGCTTTACTCTCTCACCTGGGCAGTGGCCCCAGCATCTTCTCTGTGCTTTCTAGGCTCTCAGACTGTGAGGCCCACTCCACACCCCATCCCCTCCCAGCTCCATAGGGTGGGCCAGGGCGACCCTGCAGGGTGTGGTTCCTAACTTTCTGGAGACATTCTGCACATCGACTAGAGCAAAGGAGATGACTGTCAGGAGGATGGGGCAGGAGGTGGGGAGGAAGGGAACATTGCCCCATCCATGCCCCAGCCGAGCCTCTAGAGGCATCTCCCAGGGGGCCACATCTTCCCCAAGGCTCTGGCTCCTCTACAGCAAAATAACAACTTCCCTCATAGGAAGGCTGGTGTTGGGGTCAGGTAGCTCAGGTAACACTGCTCCTCCCTGGGTCCTCTCTTCTTATACCTGGTACCCACACCCTGCTCTCTGCAATCTCTAGGTAGATTCTCCTCCTTCTTCACTCCCTCACCCCCCCTTCACCTGAATATCCAACTCCTTACATTAAATATCCTCTCTCTAAATTGTCAGACGGCTTCTCTGTCCAGTTAGGCCCAATCAGGAATCCTACAATGACTCTCTGGCTGCGCTGGGTGTGAACTCTGGCAGGGGCTGTCTGACACAGGTGGACATGGGCTGGGATGGGCTTCTCCTACCTGTGACCACGATCTCCAGGGGGTCACTGAGAGCTGACCACACAGAGCGATTCTGGGTGAAAGATCCGGAACATCTGTAGGTCCCTGCATGTGCTCTGGTCACAGGCTTGAAGTCGAAGGTGTTGTGAGGAGAGACACTGTGCATCTCAGAGATGTGGCTCCTAACTCTTTTGGATAGTTTCACTATGACAAACGAGAGGTTGGAATGACAACGAAGTGTCACTTGTCCTCCCAGGGGGACCACAGGGCTCGGCCAGGCTGACAGGGAGGGCTGGTTGTGACCACCTAGGAGAGGACGAGGCAAGTCTTAGAGAAGAAAATGTGGAGCCACCTCTGTCCCCCACTGTCCTCAGGGGGCTTTTCCTCCTTTACATTCTTCCAAGGCTTTTCCCCCAAAGTGGAGCTCTCTGTAGCCCAGGGGTACCTGGTGGTGGGCCAGGGGCACGGAGCACCCCAGCATGGACATGGCAGGTCTTCCCAGGACAAGAATTTACTTAGAGTGTTGATAAAATGTTCAACAAAGTTTCTCTTAAATATTTCTATTAAAGTAGCAATATCTACATGGGAGAAAGGGGAAATCTACTGGATTCAAGCCATAAGAGACAACTGGTGAAACTCATTGCCATAGCTCTCCAACCCAGGAATGTGCTCCTAGGACCATGAGGTCGCTGCCTGCTGACTGGTCCCTCCTCAGACCCTGGCAGCAGGAAGCCCTTTAGCTCAGCTTGACGGATGGACAGTAGAATCTGCATCACTCCTGGTGTTCAGAGGGTTCCAGGAAGCCCAGCATGGACTCCTTCCTGCCTTACAGAGATTATTCCAGCAGATCCCCAAACACCCCATAGTTCTGAATGTCACAGGCTCCACCAAGTACAGGCTGAGCCCAGAGGGGGTGTCTATGGAGGGTCTCCAGAACAAAATGAGGGTCCAGGGTCTCCAAGGACCTCATTGCTGTGCTCCAAGGAGAATCACTGCAAAACCCTTCCAATGTCACCTGCATCAGCTCAACCCCATGCTCCACCCTTCCCACCCATGAGATCCCTTTGTCTTTAGCCACCACTGCATCCTGGGACTTCAGGGGACTCACCCACGTGTGTGAAGGTCCTGTGGCCCAAGCAGAATCCTGGAGGGAAAACCACATCAGAGATGACTTATCCCCACAATGAATTCTGCCCTCCCCATAATTGGACCTTGTCATAGATATGAGACTTGGTAGCTCATCCTGGGCTTGGAGGGTGGATGACCTTGGCTTCCTGTGGGTTTCCACCTCCAGCCCTGGGATGTGGAGAGGCCAGGTCTTCAGGACAGTATTTTCCATTCTAATACCCTCCTCCCTTCCCTTCCAGGACTCACCTAGACACAGGAGAGGTATGAGATGGGAAGACATGGTGCCACTTCTGTTGGACAGTACACAGGGGTTGAGCAAAATTGGAAAATGAACAGGATGTGGTTGCCATTGCAAAAGTTTCACAGTTTGCAGAGTTTGAAGATACTGCACCACACAGGAAGATGACCAATTCTCACCCTAGATATAAGGGGTGCCATGGAAAAATTTCAGACAACATTTTCTGCTTAACACAGCCCCTAATAAAGGCCTGACTTCAACCCAATCACTGACCAACCTCAAAGGTCCAAATTTCAAGTTTAATTTTTTTGAGACAGAGTCTCACTGTGTTGCCCAGGCTAGAGTGCCGTGGCGTCAGCCTAGCTCACAGCAACCTCAAACTCCTGGGCTTAAGCGATCCTCCTGTCTCAGCCTCCCGAGTAGCTGGGACTACAGCCATGCGCCACCATGCCCGGCTAATTTTTTCTATTTTTAGTTGTTTTGGTTAATTTCTTTCTATTTTTAGTAGAGATGGGGTCTCGCTCTTGCTCAGGCTGGTCTCGAACTCCTGAGCTCAAACAATCCGCCCGCCTCGGCCTCCCAGAGAGCTAGGATGACAGGCATGAGCCACTGCGCCCGGCCTCAAGTTTAATTTTTTACCTCCAGAAATATAGAACATTTTAGTGTCTCCCTGCCTTTTTTGAGAGCTACGTGTCATTCCATTTGTATCATGCAACGTTCCCCTGCCACATTAATATATATGCATCTTTATGTTGGAAAATGTAGAATAAATTTAAATGTTTATTCTGCTATTTTAAAAGTTGAATTAAATACAAATTGAGAACATTCTTCAAGTTCTTAATTTTTTTGTTCTAAACTTCAAGAAGTTAACAACCACAAAAATAATTGATTCTGTATTATTAACACAGAAAACCATGCAAATTCTGGCTCTTGAAGTTTTATTGGAAATTTCTTTCTTACCTCATAGGTCAAGACTGAGATCTCTGTGTTTCTCCTTCAAGTCAACTCAAGACAACTCAACATGTATAAAATATGAATAAATATAGATATGTTTATGTAATGCTGAATGTTCTTTCCAAAATCCAACTCATATAATCAGGAAAATTAATGTGAGAGGACATGCTGTCCTGAAGAACTGGCCTCTCCACATCTCAGGACTGGAGTTGGGAACCCGCAGGAAACCAAGTTCATCCACCCTCCAAGCCCAGGCTGAGCTACCAAGTCTCATAAGCTGTGAAATCACCACTGAAAATGAAACCTGTATATTCACAACAATAGTATCAACTCATGTGTGGTGTCTGATCCATCCCTGAACTTCCCACTGTACGAAATGACCACAATTCTGTACCTTGTGCTCATGCATTCCTTCTGGTTTTTATAAATATGCTCTTTCACATTGTTAGCTAGCTTGTGAAATGTTTTTTGTGTTTATATGTGTGTTTATTTTAAATATAGAACAAAATTATTGACTGTTCTTGTCTTGAAAGTTATATTGCTGGGGGGTGGAGGGGGTGGGGCAAGTTGGTGGACAAGAAGCAGCCTAAGCACGGCTCTCAAGTAGAGGACCGAATGTTGCAGGTGGGTGCCCACCTATGGATGGGCCTTCTGGGAAAGAGCACTGTGAATCACTGAGAAGCAATGGGGACATTCAGAGTCAAGGCAGAGGCGACAGGGAGATTTATTCTGCAAGATTGGAAGGTACCTGGGG